CAAGATTATGTTGTCTGGAAATTTACTGCGGTAACACCATGTCTTCTGGACATTTACTACAGTAACACCATGTTTTCCGGACATTTACAATGGTAACACCTTGTTTTTTGGATATTTACTAAGGTAACACCATGTTTTCTGGACATTTACAATGGTCTGTCTGTGTGCTGTTGTTTTCTGACAGAGATGATTGAGATTCCAGAGTCTTTATCAGTCATTGATAAGAGCGTCAGACTCAGTTCAGAACGCAGCTGTGTGTGGGGGGTTTCTACCAGCTGGGGGTCTCCGTATCTTCCCGTCAGCTCTCGAGTTACCCAACACAAATACTGACGGTGTTGCAATGCTGGAAGAATCTCAGGGTGAGCGGATTCACTGCTGAAGGTTTTTTAAAGCATCTATTTTAATCCTCCGTCTCTGTGTTTCTAAGTGTTTCCTCAGTAAATCTCTCTCCAGTGAAACAATAAATGGCCTCCATCATTCCACTTAAAAACAGAGGCATTGAGGTCAATCCAGGCACGTAAAACAAACCAGAGCACTTCTGGCCACCGCCTTTGTTTTTTGGAAATCCTCTGTAACGGAGATGAGCGTGGGCCGTCGGGTCAGGATAATGTGAGACAGCGCGCCGCGGCTCCGTCCAAGGATGCGGGAGGGACGAGTATCTGAGCCCTGAGAAGTGCTGACTGGGAACTTTCCAGAAAAGTCAGCGCTCGCAATCTCTCTCGATCACAACATTCCAGCCTCGTTTCTAACAACCAAAGAAGGAAAGATGAACGTACCTTCTTAAAAACCAGAGGAACTCTGGAACCGGGGTATTTCTTCTGGTCATTTTCCAGCAACGTAGTGAGAGGAACGCAGAATATGCCGCTGTCTGTGGGAACAAAACGACAGCGTTTACAGACAGTTTTACATGCTTTCTGACATTTACAATGGTAAAACCATGTTTTTTGCACATTTACGATAGCAACACCATGCTTTCTGGACTTTTACTATGGTAACACCATGTTTTCTCCATATTCACAACGGCAACGCCATGTGTTCTAGGCATTTACTATGGTAACACCATGTTGTGCACAATTACTATGTTAATACCATGGCTTTTGTGCACATTTACCATGGTAACACCATGTTTTATGAACATTTACTATGGTAACACCATGTTTTGTGCACAATTACTATGATAACATCATATTTATGGACATTTACTAAGGAAACAATGATCTTTGGACATTTACTATGGTAATGCCATGTTTTCTGGATATTCACAATGGCAACACCACGTTTTTTAAATATTTACTATGGTAATGCCATGTTTTGTGCACATTTACTATGGCAACACCATGTTTCATGGACGTTTACAATGGTAACACCATGTTTTTGTGGACATTTACTATGGTAACACCATGTTTTATGGGCATTACAAAGGTAACACCATGTTCTGTGAACTATTACTAGGGTTACACCATGTTTTCTGCATATTCACAACGGCAACGCCATGTGTCCTAGGCATTTACTATGGTAACACCATGTTGTTGGTTGCACCATTTATTATGGTAATACCATGGTTTTTATGGACATTTACTATGGCAACACCATGTTTTTATGGACATTTACAATGGTAACACCATGTTTTGTGCACATTTACAATGGTCACACCATGTTTTGTACACATTTACTATGGTAACACCATGTTTTATGGGCATTACAAAGGTAACACCATGTTTTGTGAACTATTACTAGGGTTACCATGTTTTTTGTGGATATTTATTTACAATGGTAACACCATTTATGGTAATACCATGGTTTTTGTGGACATTTACTATGGTGACATCATGTTTTATGGGCATTTACAATAGTAATCATATCCTGCTGTCTGTGGGAACAAAACAACAGTGTTTAAAGCCAGTTTTTACATGGCTTCTGAGTCTTGATGTGACTGACCCGCACCTCGTGCTTTACTGCGCACCACGCGGTTCCTCTTCATCTCGATGCCCATGAAGTCGTAGAATGTGGTCAGCTCGATCAGGGAGATGTAGCCGATCTTCTTGATGTCCTCAGATGATAGATCGCTCACTCGCGTCACACCCTGTCTGGGCCTCACGATCTGAAAACTCTGAAGAACAGACCACAAACCGCATTAGACGGCAGCATCTGATCTGAGCTCGCTATCCAGGGAAGATGCTTTCAGTAAATGCTGCTTGTTTGTGTCACGCAACAGAACAAACACTGCCAGTAAAAGGTGCATTATGTAGACCCCATGAGATAGCTGGACAATTTTCTTTCCTGTGTTGGTTTGTTTTATTTGGACCAGATATACACTACTGTTCACAAGATTGTTTTTTTTCTTTTGAAAGAAATTAATACTTCTATTCAGCAAGAATTCATTAAATTGATCAAAAGTGACAGTAAAGACATTTTATAATTTCTTGAGCAGCAAATCAGCATATTAGAATGATTTCTGAAAATCACGTGACACTGAAGACTGGAGTAATGATGCTGAAAATACAGCTTTGATCACAGAAATAAACTACAGCTTAACAGATATTCACATAGAAAATAGCTGTTTTGAATAGTAATAATATTTCACAGATTACTGGATTTATCTCCCGAAAATACCAAAAAGATCTTACCAATCAAAGCTACAAACATGAGCTAAACAAATAAAACTCTCATGCTGAATTCATGGAGTCTTTAAATTTGATGGAATCAGTTTGAAAAATGCCCATTTAAAGGCAGGGTATGTGATTTTTCAAAAACACTTTAGAAAACTGATCGTGTCCGCTGCACACGACAGAGGGACTGGACACACAGAGAAACATTAACTAAGCTCAGGACTAAGAAATTAATCACCAGCGATAATGATATTTCCACGAGCTCTTAACTCCGAAAATGATTCAGACACTTTGAGCCGAGCATGTTTTGCTGAAGTGTTTTTCTTTAATTGCTAATGTGATCTTTTTACTCCACAGACTGAACTAAATGAAGCACTGCTTGGTAATTAGTTGAGCTAAATTGGTTTTATCTAATTGTGTATTAAATGTAACAGCTGACAGATATTCAACAGAATTCATTACATAGCTTTCTATCAAAGTTATCTGATATTATCAAGATGAGTTTGTTCTGACACAGTTTAACTCCGAGCTCTTCTCATATTTTATTACCATTTTCTAAACTATAGCCAATAAACTGTGATATAATGTGAGAAATGCTGAAGTGTCTGAATACATTTTGGTTTGACTATAAACCAAAACCATAAACACAGCCACTTTCTATGATAGCTCCTATTTAATCTTGTTCTTCTCTTTTCTGCGTTTCTTCTATTTGTGAACTAATCTAGCTTATATTTGCCATCATGTACTGTAAACATTGTGTCTCTTATGATAAACTGCTTGTGATGTTCCTCTTCTGTGCGTCTGCTAAATGAATGCATGTTAATGTAAATATATCATCTAAACAGGGTCAAACGTTGTCCAACCTTTAGGTGGATTCCACTGCGGCAGTTTGGGAGCGATCTGTCCGTTTGGAGAAATGGGAGGCGTCAGTTCAGACTGTAAGAGAACAGAATCACATCATCACACACGGATTCATGAGGTAAACACATTCAACGCTGAAATCAACATGCACCACTGCAAATGGCAGTGCAGATAATTGTGGTTAGATCAATAACCATGATGAGAGATTAATCAATAATCAGTTTAGAATCACTCAGTTATCACGTCCCACATGTCAGATATGAATAATTTCAGCATGTGTTAATGTCTGTATAGACGATGTCCTGCTGAACACTGGACATTTGTTGGACTTTACACTCCTCTAAACCTAACAGATGCCACAGCATTTAAAACAGCACCATTTACTCTCTGTTCAGTCAAACCTGCTGCCGTTGGTCAGTCAAACAGACATCATTGGTTAGATTCATGCATGTGATTTACATTGCATTCAAGATACACATGTTATCAGTTCATGCATTCCCTGGGAATCCAACCCATGACTTTGTCGTTGCCAGCTCCCTGATTTACAATCTAAGCTACAAAATGCCACACTACTTGAACATCAGCTTTAACGTCTGTATGAAATTAAAACCTATTTTCTAAGTGCATGCAATTTAATCATGTTAATGTTTTGAGCTCAAATTTGTTTAGTCAAAGTGTCATAACTGGATCTTCTGGCGGTTTTGATTAAACATTATGAGCTCAAAACATGAATGAAACATGCACAAATTAATTGCGTGCAATTAGAAAATAGAATTTTTATTTCACGCAATAGTTTGTGGTGCGTCAGTTTCTCTGGTGGCGTATGTCAATCATTTAGTGCTCTTAAACTCCGCCCCTGCAAGCGAAAGCCACGCCCACATCTCAACATCCAATCAACAACCGATGCACAGCACCAAGCCCTGCCCTATAATTTTACAATTGTAACTCATTACATTCAGATGTACGTCACAAGGGGAACCCCCTCGAAATGCAATTGGGCTAGTTTTGAGTAGAAATGTGGCAGGTTTTGTTGTGAAAACCTGGCAACCCTGATAACAACTAATTGACATGCCAGTCAGTGTTGCCAAGTCTGCAGTTTTCCCGTGGAATAAATCCAACCCATGACTTTGTCGTTGCCAGCTCCCTGATTTACAATCTAAGCTACAAAATGCCACACTATTTGAACATCAGCTTTAAAGTCTGTATGAAATTAAAATCTATTTTCTAAGTGCATGCAATTTAATCATGTTAATGTTTTGAGCTAAAATTTGTTTAGTCAAAGTGTCATAACTGGATCTTCTGGCGGTTTTGATTAAACATTATGAGCTCAAAACATGAATGAAACATGCACAAATTAATTGCGTGCAATTAGAAAATAGAATTTTTATTTCACGCAATAGTTTGTGGTGCGTCAGTTTCTCTGGTGGCGTATGTCAATCATTTAGTGCTCTTAAACTCCGCCCCTGCAAGCGAAAGCCACGCCCACATCTCAACATCCAATCAACAACCGATGCACAGAACCAAGCCTTGCCCTACAATTTTTTTTTCAATAACTCATTACATTGAGATGTAGGTCACAAGGGGAACCCCCTCGAAATGCAATTGGGCTAGTTTTGAGTAGAAATGTGGCAGGTTTTGTTGTGAAAACCTGGCAACCCTGATAACAACTAATTGACATGCCAGTCAGTGTTGCCAAGTCTGCAGTTTTCCCGTGGAATAAGGCTACTTTAACACTGTTACCGTGGGTTGTTTTTCATGTTTTGGGGATTAAGCGGTCCCAATAACCTGATATTTAGCCCCTGGAATACGAATTGTACTAGGGAACCCCACCAAAAAAATATGTATTTGTAGCAATTGGGCGGGTGTTGTTGTGAAAACCTGGCAACCCTGACGCCAGTGAAACAAGACAGCTGTTCAAAAGTAATCTGATCGGATTTTGAGCATAGGATTGGATCAAATCTTGACAATGGGTTGTTCAGAAGAAAAAAAAAAGGATTCTTAAAGACAGGTAGAGGCCTGTTCACAGGCACTAGAAAGGGCCTAAAAAATGAAAGTTACAAAAGCCTACTTTAAGCCTGAAGAGAACTAATGCATTTTGCTTGCCAAAAACACCAGATTAATTCAGCACTATATACAGCGCCCGTGTGCACTTAGTGGCTTTGTATTAGTGTTTTAAGAGCCAACACATGGACGTGGATCACATTTCAGAATTTATGTGCACAGAACAAAAGTTCTTTTTTTTAGATCAGAATCTAAGGCAGAGTACAGCAGAGCAAGAATTAAACAACTGAGAATGAATCACTCTGTATTTTGTATCAAACATTCATTTTCATCATGTCTGAGGAAACACAAAGAAATGGTGAACAATCTTTTTCAACACAAATGATGGCTTTTCACATGATGGTGTTTAAGCCCGGTGGCAAGTTGTTCAAAAGGAATCTGATCGGATTTCAGCTATGCATAGGATTCAAATCTTAACAATGGGTTGTTCAAAAGAAAAAAAAAGGATTCTGAATTCAGATTAGATCACAAAAAACAATCTTGGTTTTGATCTGGATTAAATCCTGAGTTTGTGTTGTTCAAAACGTTTTAGTAAGATTGGGATACTTTTGATATTCTGATGCCAGCAGAAGAGTGGATTTCAGGAACAAATATGTAATAAAACTTTAAAACTGCTCCAAAAAATACAACACTTATAACATGTAATACACCACCAAACAGCTGTCGATATCAAACAAAACTATTATTTAATTTAAAGTTTGTTTGTTTTTTTAATCACTGATTGTAAACTACATTGGCACAATCATCAGAGATGGAGCAGTCAGAAGTAGTTATTTGTGTAAATGCAACGGCATTTTTTTCTCCATCATCATGTCCCTTCAGGGGCTCCGTAGAGCTCTAGTAATCCAGATTTGGAAATCTGGAACAGTGTGTATCTGGATCAGTGTGATCCAATCCAGTTTTGCTTTGAAAAACCAGCACAGAAGTAAGATGGGTTTCCTGATCCTGGATCACAAAACATGGGATTTCCAAATCCAGATCATTCTGATCCAGATTACACTTTCTGAACAACTGGCCCCTGATTAGAACCAGGCATGAACCACCGGTTTGCGCTCACCGACGCGTCGGACATGGAGAAGACATCTCGAACGTGTCTCATGGGCTGTCTGTTCCTCTTGCGCAGTGTCTGCGTGTAGTTATCCAGCCGTTTCTTCACCATAGCAGCCTGTGAGTGTGTGAGCGTGGAGAGGAGAGCCTCCGCCGGGCCGTCGCTCTGTGTTCCCGTCACCAGCGTGGAGAGCCCCGCCTCCTGCAGCCACGCCTCCTCAAGCTCCGCCTCTGAAACATCAAACACACACCGACTGATAGTTTTCACGTGACATCACACACTTATAGTAACGCCCACCTAGAGGACATAACAAAGCTTTGCTCCACTGACCGCCAGTTATTCTTACGCGTAATGTGGAAAAACTGCTTTCACACAAAATCTTTCCTTGTCACACAGTTTCTGAAAGCTGACACTCAAACAGCAGAAGCACACACCAAAGCTACAAAACCAGACACTAATTCTCAGCCTTTGACTTTTTCAATTTGACAAAACACTTTTTGTAAAACACAACACACAGTTCTCTATGTAACACACACACATCTAACAGGAATTAATATTATGGCAAAGGTGTTTGCAAATGTTTGCTTTTGAGATGTGTTTGTGATATTTTGAATGCAGTGCTTCGTTTTGCAAGAGATGCGAGGCGTTTTGCATTGTTTGTGCAATTCTTGGATTTGTGTGTAAAGTTATGAAAAAAAGAGGCAAAGTTTTGAAAATGTGTGTAAGCTGTTGAAAAACATGGTAAAAGGTGAAATGCAGTACACACCTTATTGATGATGCATGCTTTGTGCATGCAAGCAGATGAACCCAGAATATAAACACAACACGCAAAGTTTCACATTAAATGAAAGTTTCACAATAAAGAAAACATTGAACCATTTAGTGCATTGTATTCATATTCTGGGCTCATCTGCTTGCCTTTATAAAGTAAGCATAATTCAGTAAGGTGTGTACTGAAATTGTTCTTTTAATATCACTGTTTTAAATACATTAAGTGTTTTTCACAATGTTTTGCCACGCTATTTAGTGCTTGAAATATTGCAATAATATGGATTGCAAATGGCCAAAACTTGCATATCTTTGTTTTGTTCTTTTGAGAAGTGATATAAATATTTGCAGGCAGTTTGGAAACAGATGGAACATTGACAGGCTTGTGCTGCAGTTATATGAATGTTTTGCCCTCCAGGTCTTTGAGCCGGTCACGTGACTGAAGGCTATGAATTAAAAGACTCTTAAGGTCTTTGTCCGAAATTTTTGCACGTTAAAAAATAAATACGACCTCACGTTGTGTCAAACGCGTTTACACACTGCCTCCGAAACTCTCCTCTGTCAAAAATAATCGGATCGGGTTCGATTTTCTGTGTTTTTGCATCTGTAGCAAGCATTTTGATAGGAAAGGATGATGAATAAACGCATACAAAAATTTCAGACTCGGTGTGCAAGGACCTTTAGGCCTGTGAACTATAATGATGACTCCAAGAATACGGGTTTGAGCGAGGGAGTGAATATCCATACACACCGTCCACGCTGGCGCGCTCCATCAGCTCCTCCGGTCCTCCCTGACGCTCCTCATCGATGCTCTTCATCTCACTCCAGTAGTCCTCCATGGAGTCCCGCTCCAAACTCATGCTGCCTATCCGCTGATACTGCGCTTTCCTGCAGAAACACAGAGAAACTGAACCCATGAGTGTCTGCATCAGGTGCATCTGAGATCATCTGCACACACAGACACACACAATACCAGAGAACAGACTGAAGAACGGCCAATAATAATCACATTCACTCGATCGGATTCAAGCACCCAGATTTACAGTGAAGCCTCGCGGGAAAGGAAGAGAGGAGGAAAAAGAAGGAAAGAAAGGAAAACAGCATGAAAAGAAGGAAAAAAGAGAAAAGAAGGAAAAGGAAAAGAAAGGTAAAAATGAGAAAAGAAAGAAAAGGGGAAAAAAAACAAGGAAAAATGGAAAAAGAAGAAAAGGAAATAAAAGGGGAAAAGAAGGACAAACATGAAAGGAAAAAAAGAAGAGAGACAAAAGAAGAAGAAAAGAAAGAAGGAAAAGGAAAAAGAATGGAAATTAAAAGAAAAAGGTAAAAAGAAGAAAAGAGGAAGGGGGAAAGAAAAGGAAAGGAAAAAAGAAGGAAAAACAAGAAGGAAAAATGGAAAAAGAAGAAAAGAAAGTGAGGGGAAAGAAAAATAAGGAAAGAACAGAAGGGAAAAAGACAAACATGAAAAGAAAAAAGAGAAGAGAGACAAAAGAAGAAGAAAAGAAAAAGAAGGAAAAGGAAAAATGGAAAAAATGAAGGAAAAATGGAAAAAGAAGAAAAGCAAATAAAAGGGGAAAAGAAGGACACACATGAAAGGAAAAAAATGAGAGGGAAAAAGACAGAAAAATTGAAAAAAGATAAAGGAAAAATAAGAAAAGGTAAAGAAAAATAAGTGGGAAAAGACAAAAAGGGAAAAGAAAAGAAGAAAATGAAAAGCTGTCTAGATTACTAGCAAGGCTTTCACAAAATATAACAGAAAATATCAATTCTGGTGTTTCATAAAAAGCTTAAAGTTAGTTACTAATGACTCATTTAAACCCACGACTAATTGAATCCTAAGCGTGTTACTGAGATTAAACACGGTCACATGATCTCAACAGACTTTATTAGACCACTGATGCGAGTCAGAATCTCATGTGACGGGTTCGTGCTCGATTTCTTCATCTGTTAACTCTTACAATATCACACCCTATTAAAGACATTATTCATAAGACACCTGCATGCTCAGAGAGACACTACAGTATTAGAGACACAGCTCCAAGAGAACAGAGCTGAACAAGTTCACTCATGAGAGAATAAAAACTAGTTCAACACGGCAGGTAAACACCAGCGCTGTTGCCAACTTGGCAATTTTGTTGCTAAATTTAGCAACTTTTCAGACTACCCTAGCAACTTTTTCTTCCAAAAGCACCTAGCAACAAATGTAGCTATTTTTAACATTTATTCCGCAACTTTTAGCAACTTTTGTTAAGTGACTCAAACGATAAAAAGGCACATATTTTCATCTAAATTACACAAAAAAAGGGAGCCAAAGATGCCTAGCACTACACATATCACGTGAATCAAGTTCGCTGCTATTTGCAATTGTTCCATTTAATAATAATGATAATAATTGAATAATTGTTCATTTATGATACACCTTGTTAGCTTGTACATGCAATTGTTGATCAGTTAGTACACTGTAAGAAAAATATCTAGAAAAATGGAAAAGGCACTAGTCATTTTCATATTAATAGACATATGCAATGCATATACAATGCGTAATTTAAAATGCAGGTAAAAAACCTGTGAAAAATCAATATGGAAAATTCCTTCATATTAACACAGTAGATTATGCACTACTTTTAGAGTGTAGCATACTAACTAACTACTAATACACTGCTTAAAATAGTTCAGAATGTGTAGTTTTACTAGTTTACTGGCTAATTTAAAAAAAACTTAAATTGTTGAAAGTGTTCAATAATTCAATGTTATTTTTTAAAATACAGTTGTTTAAATTTTAATGTTATGTTATGCATTTATATCATTTTACGAGAATGATATGTGATATGTGATAATGATATAATGAAAATCTGGAATCTGAGGGTGCAAAAAAATCTAAATATTGAGAAAATCATCTTTAAAGTTGTTCAGATGAAGTTCTTAGCAATGCATATTACTAATAAAAAATTAAGTTTTGATATATTTACAGTAGGACATTTACAAAATATCTTCATGGACTGAGATTTGATGCAGTGGCACAATTTTGCGTAGTGATTACATCATCATGCAGTGACATCCCAGCGTCATTTAGCAACAAATTGGCCTTCCTTTAGCAACTTCTGCTGAAAATGAGTTGGCAGAACTGAAAGAACATCTCAGTGAGATGCTACAAACAGACAGGATGCTCAAATGAGCTTCATCTCTCTGGCTTTCTATCAAATATTGATAAGCTACAGGAGCTGATGATGAAGATGAAGATGATGGCCAGGAAGTGGACCTGCGTCATTTAGAGGAAGTTATCGATCAGCGCTGCACATGATGGAGCCTGAATTGTGTTACATGAAGAGCTTAATTGCCTCCAAACGTCCCTGCCTCAGTTTACACACATCAAGCCTCCGATGGAAACACAATTTCCCTGCCATTTTCAGCTGGAAAAACATCACAATCACGTCAGTGAAAACAACCTCCTTCATGCATTCCATCAGCGCGAGGAACGGCAGGAGCGCAGAAGAACAGGTTCACAGACACATGTTTGAGTTTCACCGTAGTTTCTCTTTCAGCTCACAGTCCGAGTCTGATCCGAGTCGATACCAACACTAATCTCCAGGAAAACATTTATGACCTGATTATTGCTGATATTAATAAAACCATTCCTGACAAAGAAATATTCTAGGTGAAATGTAACTCTGTTTATTAAAAGCTTGACAAAAACACAAACAATTTACTTAATAATAATAACATTTTATTTTTATTTTAATAGCACCTTTCCAAAACCTAAGGTCACTTTACAAACTTTGACAGAAGTAATATAATAAAAAAAATTATTTCAATGTATATTGTATTTATATAATATATTAAAAAATAAGACAGCACTTTACTTTTCAAATATCTTAAGCAAATAAAAATATATTATATATATAATATTATATATAAAAATATATAATATAATTTTTTTATACACTTAAAAGACTCAATGAACATAAGAAATTCAGCCTTAAAGACTTTAAGAGGTAATTCAGAATTCCGTTTGCTTTTGTGTGTTTGAAAAAGTTCTCTTTCATTTGCACTGAAAATAACCAAATCTCAGGCGTAAACACTATAAACACAACCCGAGTTATTTATACATTTATACACATGAGAAAACAATGCATATGATTAAGAAAGCTCTCAGATTGTGCTCTATTTCTAGACACCAAATACTGAGGCATGATCAAAATATCAGTTATTCTGAGAATACAACTACAGATGAGACACTGAAGCAGAACAGAAACATCTTCAGACTCACGCTGTGTGTTCAGAGGAACACTGGACACCAATCAGGATTTGGAAAACCAAACGATCAACCTCCAAAAGACACGAGACGTCCGAATGAAACCAGAACTAAACCAGCTGACGGCGTCAATCAGGTCCTGTACAAACTCCATAAATCCACAGAGTCACAAAGACAAACATAAAAGCACAGAGGATCTCCAGAGAGCTTGAGGAGCGTGTGGCTGTTCTCCTTTAGGTCCTGTTCTGAATGGATACAGCATGCGTACCTCACAGTGCTCAGAAAGACATCAGGAGGAGATGTGTGTGTGTGTGTGTGTGTGTGTGAGAGAGAGAGAGTGTGTGGTCAGCATCATGCAAACATCAAATATCAGACACACAGTAGCAGTTCTGCACAACTTTTCCATTGCTTTTCTATGTAAAGATGCACGTCATGTGTCTTTTGCAGCATCTCGCTCATGAAATAGCGTTCTAAAACTCAGCTCTCAACTTAAAAGAAGCTCAGCTCACGTCTCATAACCTTGCGTTTTTTCCATTCCATTGCCATGTCTGGTGTTTTAATGCACAAGTGCATTCTGTGTGAATGTATAATTGTCATATCTGTGTCCCTGCAGCACAAAAGCAGTGTTAAGTCGCTGGGGTATATTTGTAGCAATAGCCAACAATACATTGTATGGGTCAAAATTATACATTTTTCTTTTATGCCAAAAATCATTAGGATATTAAGTAAAGATCATGTTCCATGAAGATATTTAGTACATTTCCTACCATAAATATATCAAAACTTAATGTTTGATTAGTAATATGCATTGCTAAGAACTTCATTTGAACAACTTTAAAGATGATTTTCTCAATATTTAGATTTTTTTGCACCCTCAGATTCCAGATTTTCAAATAGTTGCATCTTAGTCAAATATTGTCCTATCCTAACAAACCATACATCAATGGAAAGCTTATTTATTCAGCTTTCAGATGATGCATACATCTCAATTTAACAAAATTGACTCTTATGACTAGTTTTGTGCTCCAGGGTCACATTTGCTAAAAAAAAAAAAAAAACATTACATTGGAATGAATCTTTAAAATCAGAAATCCCTAAACCAAACCTCATGAGAAAGAACTCAACCTGAGAACTAAACATTAGTGATGCTTGACTTAGCAATCAGTTTACATACTCAAACTCAAATGCGTGAGCATTTCGGTGCAGACTAGAAAGGGAATGTTGATTAAAACACAGTGCACAGCTGGAATCTGAGCCCAAAGCCGCCCTAAACACCCCCCACACACACTGTATTTAATCAGCTCGGCCCGGTTCCCCCGAGCACTTCAGCGCCGTCAGCAGATCGCACTCCAGCGGGTAAAAGCCGGAGCATTAGCTGCAGACAACAGTCATATCAGCCGGATTGAGGAGCTAATGGAGCGTCAGATGAAGAGGGTTAGTGTCCACTGATGACTAACGCACACTAAACCAGCACAAACCACAAACACTCCTTCATTATACAGCGTGACAGAAGAGGGTTTTAAACCCAATCCTTATGCTCCAGCCACATTCAGATCAATATGAGCACAAAACCAGTCATAAGGGTCAATTTTGTGAAATTGAGATTTATACATCATCTGAAAGCTGAATAAATAATCTT